TATTATATGAATTTTTCATTATTCCTCCCCGTAAAATTCGCAGATAACGCATTTTGAAAAATTATCTTTGTCTTTTGTAAAATATTTCTATAATTCAGGAACCATATTTTAAAAAAAACCTTATGTATAAATAATAAAATTGGCGCTATTATTTAAAAAGATTTAAAATAAATAAAACTTTGGGTGTTCCTTTCTATTTTTATAAAAAGAACGATTACCTATCTGATATCATATCTAATTTTGTATTCTGTAAAGTTACCATGGTTTTAATTTTTAATATACTATACTTTTTATTAGTAAAACATCTATAATTTAACTCTACCATAACTTATGTCATTTGAATATATTATAGTGAACAGTTATATTTTATTAATTGCAATTCTTATATAAGATATTTTTATTCTTAAATCACTTTTATATAACATTAATCTATATACATAATAAGTAATAAACAAATATATTATGAAATTTGAAATAAATAATTAAAATAATATTTAACATTAATATATCTAAGATTTCTTTTTAGAAATACCAAAATTACAAATTTATCAGTCAGCCTGCGGCGATGGTAACTGTCAATATCACCAGCTTCACTAATAAGAGATTATGAAGAGATTATCGACCACTTTTATAAACAGAATGCGCAAAAAAAATAACAATATGGCACAATGTTTATTAATTAATTATTATTATTAAAAAAATTACATAAAGATGGATTTCGATTTTATTTATAAAATATAACTTTTTTAAAAATTTTTTAACATTTTGTTTTTGCTAAATACGTCATTTTATATAGGATCGGACCGGAAAATTTTATAATTTTGGCCGATAATCGGTATTTTAAAATAAGTGAAATATCGGCCCGATCCGATAAAAATATCGATACATCCCTATAAAATATATAATAAATGTAAAATAAATATACATAACATAAAATAACAAAAAAAGTATCGGTCCGATCCGATATTTTTGGAAACCGTTTATCGCTGCCGATCCGATATTTAATATCGGCACAGCCCTAATTATCTCATTTAGATATGGGCAGTGTTTATGACACAATGTAGTGTTTTTAAACGTCTCGGTTTCGCCGATTTTAAAACGGCTATCAAGATTTTAGCCAAAATATTATTACTCAAGCCTCGAAATTTTGATAATAAATGTCCAAAGATTTCTGCCAACTACAATTTAGAAAATACAACCTAGATGATTTAAACTTATATCATTTTAAAAATCTGTGTCAGGTTATAATGTGCCCAAAATTTTAAAAATCCGGGGTTCATGAACCCTTATTCTGAAGCAACAGCACCACACTTAGTTAGGGATAATAATATATAGTGTTAGTTGTCATATAACTTTTTGCTATATAACGACCAATTTTACTAAAATGCATACCCACGATCATTTTTTTATATATTAACAGATTCATGCGTTTGCCTTTGATATTTTAGATATCATCCCTCGTAGCATAGAACCACCTAGTTGATTTCAGAAAGAAATCCGATCCTTGATGGATTTGAACCCAGAACTATAAGATTAATGGTGCATGCACCAATTGATTAGGCCACAGAGACTACTCTAAACCAACAAAATTTTTTGTATAAACAGATAAAATATTATAATAAAAGAGAAAAAAATCAATAACGTTCACAAATCATTCCATTTGCTAAGTGCTAGAGATGTCAGCAAGCTAGTTTGGACACAGGGCTGGGGTTATGTATATTTAAAAAATGGTTTAATAAAATTTAGTTATTAATTTTATTTTTTATTCACAATTTTTTATTAATATTCTAATTGATTTTAGAGGTGTAATGGACTGGATGGTAGGTTAATGCATCTGAGTTATCTCATGTTTATACTTTCAGTACTCTTTTTGGGACTGAAGCGAATCATCACCTGCAGTTAACTAAGAGTTAGAGATGACAGCAATTCAGCATGAATATAAGGGTGAGGTAATATATTTTAACAGGTTTATTATAATATTAATATATAGAAAACTAAGATTTGTAGATTATCATAAATTCATCACTTCAAATATTTGATTTTATTCCCCTAAAACCTATGCATAAGATAAATTAATAATTTTCTCTGAAAAAAATTGCTTTTTCAAGCAATTTAAAAATTTATAAAAATTTGAGAATTTTTGTCCAGGTGTATTTTTGCCTAATATCTTTTTTCTGGAGTACTTTTGTCCAGGGCATTTATGTCCAGGATTCGTGAGTTCTATATTAGTTGTAAAATTTTTGCATAAAATAAAGATAAAGTTTTGTGTATGATAGTGCATTCATTAAAGCCCTAAAGTTGGTTCTTAAAAATAAAATCAATATAGGCGAAGCTGAATAGGGCTAAAAATTGAATTTGCAAGGCTCTTGTCTAGTTTTTAAAATGCCCATAATAAATAACTAAAAATCTATGTCTTCACAGGTAACCCCTACTACCATCTTTACCATAGGGAATCAAGTTTCTCAGCCACCTCACCTCTCACTTCCATTTATATCAATAATTAACCCTCTTTGGTTCATCTCATATTTGAATTGAATGCACATATAAAAAAATATATAACTAATAATATATTTTTTTAGAGCTAATACTTGGTATCTCTAGATATAACGGTCGTATCTGAATCTGTATCTAGATTAGTGATCTGCATGGGGCCTAATTTTTCAAGCCCGGCCCATACCCGAAATTTTTTTTTTAATTTTATAACATTTTATTTTTGTTAAAGTTGCCTCTTTATATCGGATCAGATATGGAAATTTTATAATATTGAATGATAACCGATATTTTAAAATGGGTGAAATAGGCCCAATCCGATAAAAAATATCGGTACATCCCTAAAATATATAGATATCAGTTCAAGATTGTGAAGGATATTTTTCTCATATAAATGATTATAAAAACCTTGCTTATCCAGGATGCCCTGTAAAAATCCTTACTACCATGATGCCCTCTAATTATGAAAAACAATATCAATGATGCACAAAATTTTTAAGCAAATAAATTTATTTATAATTTTAAAGATATTCTGTTGAGGTTGACTTTTAATAAATATTAACAAATTTGAATAACTCTATTTTCTTCTAAATATCATCATTTTTCCTGTTGATTTTTATGAGATAAGAAATTAAAAATCCTATTGAATAAAGATAAAAGAAATATTTTATAAATATATTGTTAAAAATTTTTAAATTTCAAGATATGTGAACCCAGATACACAATGTAAAGTAATATTATTTTGGTTTTTTTTTGACATTATATATTGTTTTATTATTTGCTATCTATCTAAAATTAAAACTTTTATAGTCAACATGTATTGAATTCATAAGGATAGTTAAAATCCTAATCTTAGCAGCTCATCAGATGAGGAAATTTTTGCTTCAAGATACACAGATATTGATTCCATATGTACACTATAAAACATGGATTTCTGAAAACTTTCTGAAAGATATTTGAAAATTGTGAATGGTTTGATAGAAGGGAATGATGGATAATTAAAATTCCATATCCAGCAATAATTAATTTATAATAAAAATGTGGGAGGTGCAGATTTAAAGGACTCATTGATTGCCTCTGTATACACATTAGATCATGCAAATTATCAGTATATAAATTCTTGGTTATTGTATAGACCAGATTTATTTCTATAATTTTCACTAAAAGAAAATATGCCTTTATATTCATTTAAAATTTTAATAGGGTACTCTGTAATGCAATAAAATATGAATCCATGTAGTGATGCAAAATAGAACCATTTGAGCTAATTAAAATTGACTAACTTAGTATTTTATATAAAAAAATAATATGCAAGCCTGGATATTTCACTCATAGATGGTATGAAATCTAGAGGCTTAGTCAATATTTTTTGACCAATAAATTGAGTTTGCCTTTTTTAAAAATTGGCACAGAGTGTTTTCCAGAAAATGTGAGGGGCAACATGTCTTATTTAAAAGAAGGAAATAAGATATAATTTAATAGCACATTAGCCTAAATATAGTATAAAGGCATAGTGAAAAATTCTTAAATGTAAATTGGTTACTAAAATGATTGTAAAAAATGTTGTGTTTCATTTTGTTTTACATCTAAAAAGAATTGTTTAAAAAAATTTTAAGAAAATTAATATAAATTAATATTAGAGTGTTTATTTAATAACAAAATTTTATGCCTTTCTTTTGTAATTTAAAAAAAGAATACTTTTTACACATTGTGTAATTAAAAACATATACTTAAAAAACTTTGGGCAGTTTTAAGAATTTAGAAGGGCTAATAAAAGACAAAAATAATGTTTTCTTTAAATTATGTTATTTATTGATAAGTCATGCAATAGAGTATTAAATTGGATAGGGAACAAAAAATATTAAGACATTAAGGTTTTTATTTTAAATTCTTTAAACTTTAAATGAAACAAAATAATTAATTATGTGATAATTACTATTTTCTAATAGTTCTCTAACATGTGTGCTTTGTGCAAAGTTAATATTTAATAAATTCACTTTTAAACCCATGTAAACAATCCAAAATATAAATAAGGATATATATTAAGAAACATTTTAATCATAAAATCTTATTTTATAAATTAACAAAGATATAATTTCTAATTTAGAGTTGGTTAATTAAATACAATTATAATTTATTTTTCAAACTGTTATGGACAAAAACATCTTTTCTAAAAAAATGAATAAAACCAAAAAATATTATTTTCCTCTCAATATTGTAAATTAGAGTTTATCCTTAAAAAAGATTTTTTTAATAAAGCTAAAAACAGAAGCAATTAAATTAAAATAAACAGAAAATCAAAACAATTGTATTTTTTTTAGTCATGAATCTTAGCTATAAATAAAAAATGTCAAGTTGATATCATATTCAAATTATTTATATAACAAAAAAATTAATATTTAATTTAGTTAATTAAATGACAAAAAAAAAGATATAGAAAATTTAAAATTTTAAAAGCTTTTTTTTAATATAAGGGCATAGAAATAAAAATAATAAAATAATGAACATACCACTTGTTTGTGTGGCACTGAATATGTGAATTTATTTATATTAGAATTCCCAGTTATGTTAAGAATTTGTGCATCTAAATTTGAAAGATTATTATGTGGTTTTATCAATCCTCTAAAAGTAGATAATGTAGAATGTGGAAATGTTTTTACAAAAGAATTTGTAGAAATAGTGGAAATATTTCCCATATTATTGATGCTACCGATATGATTGCTTAAAGATGCCTGGGATATACTTGATGATGTTATTATTATAGAACAAGTAACTAAAGACACTTCTTCAAGTGATAATGAATGAGGCAATTCTATTTGATTATCTGGTGTGGGAAATTGATTTACAGGTGATAAATCTGTAGAAATTATCAGATTGTTAATGTGTGATAATGAATCATCATTGCTTTCATCATCGCCACTTAAGATATCAGAATTTTTTGTTGCATGATTTTTTTCAATCATTATTTGGTTGTTAAACCCTATAAGGGAAAATATATTTTTAATTTATAACTAATTTATATAAACCTTTTACTGACTTGCCTCTTTTACCTTTGCTTTTTCCTTTATTTGATACTGATATTTCAATTTCCTCTGAAGGGATTTGTGTCATTTTAGCTTGAAATGTTTTTTCTACAGCTTGTGCCATTAAAACAACATCTTCGCCAGGTTTATTATATACATAACAATTGGTAAATACAGTATTAAAATCATTAATGCATTCTTTTGATGAATAATAATAATGATTTTCTAATCTTTTTTTAATGGTGCCTAAATCCATTGGATGTTTTATAATTTTATGATAATCCTGTAAATTATTGAAATAACAAGGTATATATAAAAATAAATATATACAGGTAAATTTAGAGAAACTGCATCTACAGGTTTTTGAAAGGGCCAAGAAAAATGATGCTTCCATACTGCAGGCATTATCTGCTTGAGCAGATAGTTTAATTGATTAGTTGATCTCCCTTTATTTGGGTGCTCTAGTTTAATTGGAGGTTGAACAACTCCTGGTTTTAACATATATGGCTAAAAATATATTCAGATTCAAAACTTAAGAAAAATATATTTACATGCTTTTCACCAGAAACCTCTTCAATTTTTTGAGTATCTGCTTCTCTAAATATATATTTATCAATCATAAAGCGCTAAAATCATAATTAACAAAAAATTTTACACTTCATGCTCAATTTATAAAAAATCTACATATTAAACTAAATTATATACCCATTAACATTCTTTGATAATTGCTCATAGCCAGTTAACGATGCTAGATTAGAAATTTCCATAAATCTACTAAAAAAACGTTATTTGGCTAAAGGAGAGCAGCGGTTACAATTAAGAATTTTTGCCACCATCTTATTTTTTAAAAAAATAAAAATGGCGGAAAGATACACGATAATGTCTAAAAGATTATATTATCATTTTTTTCAATTCTTAGTCTATATCTTCCTTGTTAATCAATTTATGGGTAATAGATTTTACGTTATTTATTAACATTGATTACTTATTACAAATAGTAACTTTTTAAATTATTTTCTCGTCAAAGTACATTTTTAATAATAGATTTTAGAATATTTATATTTACATCCACTTGAAAAAAATTTGTTAATAAATATTTATATATTTTAATATTATGCTTGGCTTAAAATAAACTTTTTAAAAATATATAGATATATTAGAATATATATCTATAAAATATAAATAAGAGGAAAAAATTGAACAAAAAAATAGTACGATTTAAATCTACTTCAAATGGTAGAATGTTGGATTAAGGTGGTGGGATGTTCAATTAGTTATGCAAAATCGCTCCATTTGAGCCGATTTTTAAAAGGGACTAGCTTAGAACTTTATCCAGAAGAATATTACGCAAACCTGAGGATTTCACTAATAGGTGGTACAAAGTTTTGGTTTCTATAGTCGAAATATGGAGGCTTGCAGTATTTTTCTATCTAAAATATTGGGTTAGCCTTTTTTTTAGATCGTCTTAGATGGAACGATTACACTACTATGTTTAATGGATTTCTTATAATAATACTTTGGCTTTGTTTGTAAAATTCCGTATCTTGATCGGAATAAATAAGAAGTTATTCTGCTTGTGTTAGCGGATTGATATTGTTGTTTGTGTAGGAAGATACGCATGTGTAGTTCGATATTAGTCATCATCTGAGGGCCCAAAGTATTGCTCTCATACGATAAAAACTGTTTAGAGATAATTTTGTAGGCTTAAGATGGTTCGGGATGTGGGCGGATGTTAAACTTCGATTTATTACATAATTTACTGCTGTGTATAGCTCATATCTCTGATTTCTATATATAATTGAAGCCGTACTCACTTTTCGAATTAACGGGGGATTTACATTTAATATGCATGAGGTTGTACCATATTGTCTAGGCGTGATGGTCTGATAAGATATTACTAATGAGACTAAGAAAGGATTCTAGCCAAACCGCCAAGTCTGTCAGCTGTAAAGGGGATTGACTGATATATCAGTTTGATATTTCAATATTAAAGGTGTAAAAAAATTATGAGTGATGATTGTTGGTAAATGAGTGTTAAAACTATTTTAGCCTCCCTCCAATTTGTTAGTTGTTTGAACTAATAAATGATCGGTGGGGCATATGAAACTTGAGATAATTGTTAATATCGATAATAAAAAGCGATAAAGACAATTGATTGAGTGGTAAAAGTCTAAAAATTTTAAAATTTTCAAAAATATTTTGGATTTGTCGTGAATTTTTTAATGAATTTGTTTTTTTTTAATAAAGGAAGTTGAATGGAAAATATGCATAAATTTTGCATATAAAGGCATTTAGGTATTAGTAATAGATTTGATGTGCTGATAAATGGCACATTGGTGGTATTAGCAAGAACCCTGATATGGTTAAACTGTCAGTGGTGATAATTTTATAACCTTCCAAATTTGGTGCTTTGTAGTTTACAATGTTTAATCTTGGGTTCAAATGTTTAAAAGGTCTATGTATGTTAGCTGAGAGGCTATAGATAGTTTCATCGTCTAAATATAATAGATTAAGGTTAAGGTTGTAATTCTATTTGATTAGGATAATTAGATGATGGATTCAGAAGCTAAATAGAAGAGGTCCTAAAAAATCTCCTTGCTATATTTAAAGAGGCCGGTATGTCAAAGACGTCTGAATAAGAGGATTCAAGTAGCAGGTAAAAGTTTCATAGAATATTTTTAAAAAGAAATACGATATTATAAAGTTTATAGGGGTCGGTTTTTTGTTAATTAAATCTTTATATCCTAAAAATTATTAATTAATATATATAATTTAATTAAATTTTAATCAAATATTGAGTTTTACATTTTTGATAGATTAATACTTTGTTTTGAAAACCTTGATTACACGATTTCTGGTGAAACGAAATAAAATTTTTATCCTCAATCACAATATAGAATACCAAGATTCATTACTATATTAGAAGTTATTATTATAATGTATATTTATTTTTTTTTAGATCAATCTATAACATTGGTGGCTGGTTTGCCATTTAAACACTAATTGAAGTCCTATGAAGAATATTCAAAGTTATGGAATTATTTATACATTTGAATCATGGTCAGTACATAGATAGTTACACCTAAAGAAAGGTTTTGGTACTTTGGACATGTATAGAACTGTAATGATCTTGAATTTGTAAATCCCTTAGTTACACCTAAAGAAAGGTTTTGGTACCTGTGGAACCCTAATTATGGACATGTTTTTAGAACTGTAATGATATTGCATTTATAAATCCCTTTTAAGGAAGTAGCATTTATTAACTATAATGTAGATAAATACATCATTTTTTTTTACACATACACCTTTAAGCTGGAATGGTTACATTTGATTCTATTTTAAATTTGTTGTGTATATCAGATAGATCTAAAAGACCACACAATTTGGTTATTGATAATTTCATTCCACTCTTGATTATATATAGGTAAGTATAAAATAACCATACAATTAGATTTATTATAATATTCTACACTTCCTTTTGCAATTTTAAGTTTACTTACTCATATACCTTCTAAACTGAAATGGTTACATTTGATCTATTTTAATTTGTTGAGTATATCAGATCCAAAGTTAAGTGAAGGGTCACAATTAGATATATTGAATTCCTTTTCTTGTAAATATAAGAACCAAAAGATCACACAATTAGGTTATTGAACATTTCATTCCACTCTTGAAATGTATATATTTATATCCTTTTGCAATTTATAAGTTTACACAATTCGATATATAAAATATGGAGCAAAAGATCATCCATTTTTATATTAAATATTTTTATTCCACTTAATTCCCTTTGAAGCTGAAATGGATACATTAAATTGAACATAGACTATGATTACTGTAGGGTTGAATCATTAATAAAAAAAAAAACACTATATCTACTGTTAGGCAATTTTTTTTATTTTAATCATATTTATTTACAAATTCTCTGAACATTAAATCTCAATAGTGATAGTAATCATCAAAACTTACGCTAAAGAATTTAAATTTAAAATCAGCCAACACCAACCTTTAAAGTAATTAAATTATACTGTAGTTCTCGGGTATAGGCTCTTTTTTTGCCCCACTCCTTTTTACTAAGCCTATAGAGGTTTAAGCAACTTTTTTTGAAATGTTGCGCCCACAAGTAAGTGCGGCTTGCCCACAAATGTGTGAAGGGTTCCTCATTTTTCTTCCCCTATTAACTATCCAGTTTGATGGATTTTGAGGAAAACCTAGCATAGCTCTGTTGTACCCACAACCAGAGGGCGAAAACGCTGTATCACGTATATTTCTTTCACCTTTTAATTGTTTGCGTTTCAACAGCCCGAAAATTGTACAACAAACTTGCAACTTGTGTTGTTAAAAAGCCGAATTTATACGGCTCCGACCTCGAGGAACATTTGATAAGAATTTTAAATTTTCTTTGTAATTGAGGAAATTTTTTAAGAATTTTATTATAAATAAACAATCTATTATAGTTTTTTGTAAAATTATCTATTTTTATGTATATTAAAAGAATTGGTTTTTTCTAAATTACTTTTAAAATATTTATTTGCTAACATGTTTAAATAAAACTTCAATGATGATGTACTCTAGATAAGTGACAATTGTCATAATCGTTATTCTTGAAGTTTATTGAATTTTTTGGACTCAAATGGGTATAAATATAGGTTGTAAACATGTTAAATTAAAATTTCAGTGAAGATTTACTATAGATAAGTGACAATTGTCATAATCGTTATTTTTGAAGTTTATTTAATTTTTTTGAAGAAAATAGGTATAAATATAGGTTGTAAACATTTTAAATTAAAATTTAATGAAGATGTAGCATATAAAAGTGACAATTGTCAATTTTGTTTTTGTGAAATTTTTTGACGAATGTGTTAAAATATAGATTGTAAACATATTAAATTAAAATTTCATGAAAATGTACCATGGAAGTAACAATAATCATTATTTTTAATTTAACATGTTACAACTTATATTTGTACCCATTTGCATCAAAAAAATTATATAAACTTTAAAAATAACGATTATGACAATTATCACTTATCTAGGGTGCATCTTCACTGAAGTTTTATTTAAACATTTCAGCAATACTTATTTTAGCCCATTTACATCAAAAAAAATTTAAAAAACAACCATTAGCGTCAAAAAAAATTTAATATGTTTAAAAATATTGTTTATGATAATTGCCAATTTTTTAGGGAACATCTGCATTGAATTAATAATTTAACATTTTTACAATATAAATTTTATTTTACTTTTTCTGTCAAAAAGTTTCAAAAATGTTAAAAAATAACGAATATGACAATCGTGGCATTAAAATATTTTCGTTAAAAAGATCATATAAAATAACATAAAAAAGATATAAATATTTTTTTTTAAATTATTTAGAAAAAACCACATCTTTTAATATACTAAAAAAAATAGATTATTTTACAAAGTTGCTAAAAAAATCTATAAAAGATTTAGCTAAAAGATTGTTTATTTATAATAAAATTCTCACAAGAATTTCTCAAAAATGATTTATTTACAAAGAAGATTTAAAATTCTTATCAAATCAAAATATTTTCAACAAGTATATATATATATATTATAAGGTAAAATCTTTGTTGATATTGAAGATAGAAATATCAATTTAAACGATTGAAAGATGGTGATTAGACCAAAAATAACATTAAAAAATTACGGAACGGGCCGGCCCTGAGTATATAAATCACGGACTATGTCTAAATATTTTTAAAAAAATTCTTGCCAGGCCTAATTTTGATCCTGGATGAAATTTTTCTATTTTGAAAATTCGGGCCATGCAAATTACATCTGCAGCTATCTGATATTAATATTTTTAAAAAAAACCACATTCAAAAA